AGGCGCTACTTCACGGTCAGGGCGGCTAGGGTCTGGAACCAGCTTCCAAGTGAGGTGGTGCAGGCTCCCACCCTGGGGGTTTTTAAGAGGAGGTTGGATGACCACCTTACTGGGGTCGTTTGACCCCAGTGCTCTTCCTGCCATGGCAGGGGGTCAGACTAGATGATCTGCTCAGGTCCCTTCCGACCCTAGAAACTATGAAACTATGAAACCCAACAAAAACTATGGGAGGAGGGTAGATATAGGAGGCCATGTCATTTTCTAACAGGTCTCCCAGAATGAGAAGTTCAGCAGAATTTTCTAATAACTGTTTAACTTCATATAATTCTGGATATTCATTTTCCCATATTTTTGTCTTCATAATCTTGTTAAGCTTTTGGTAAGATCTTCCAATATGAAACTATTATATTTTTAACCTTTACTTCAACCAATTTATCAGTTAGCAGATTTTAAAATCTCTAATCTGGAGCAGTACACAAAGTTGTTTTTTTTTGTTGGGTGGGTTTTTTTTTAATAGAGGTAAAACATTTGCTGTCCTCCAGGTTTCGTAGCTGTTTTCAATTGGACACTATATTTTTGCTGATGCCTGGGTCACTTCATACTTAAGGTATTTCTGAACTTTTGGACTAATACTATCAGAGCCCCGTGAGTTCTTTAATTTTCAATTTGTTCCAAAATTTCTTACGACACTGATAACACCACATGTTTATAACCAAGGGGGAAAAAAAAAAACCAAAAAACAGACCTTATTTTGGTATCTGCACAATAGCATCTGTTGATGCAAAGCAACTGAATCCTCAGAATCTGTAGCATCCATCCCTTTATCCTCTGGTGACCCAAAGAGCCCCACCAATCCTTTCTGCTAACTTAAAGATTGTCTTGTTTATAAACTTCTTTACCCTTGTAACTGACATCCCACAATTTGAGTTTCAGCTTCCATACTTTAAAAGGATTTCAACTTGACCTGAATCCCTCAAATCTTTTCATGTAGCAATACTGGTTTACTACTAGCTTTCCTGATTCTATTTTTTATTAAGCAATACGTGCATCTTATAAAAAATGGAGCAAACCTACTGAAGGCTTCCCACCTTATCTACAGTATGCTCGCTAACTAAAGCGAAAAGTGCTTGGATGAACAATAGTATTTTTCCCTTCTGTATTTCACTGTACCCAAGAAAAAATAATCCAGAAAAATAGCCCTTACCATTACTAAATTAATCCAGTTTAGGAGTTCTTTACATATCAAAGTATTATTAAAATTCATGTAACTCATTCCAAACTATTTTCAAACATTCCCTTTAATATCTGCAAGTCATTTCCTTAGCACATTCCCCCACTGCCTCCCACACAAAAAAATAGCATTAAGTCATTGACAAGACAGGTATCACTTGGTTGTATTTACAACTTCAGCAGAATCAGAGACTGAGTCACTATAGATTTAACCCAGGAAAATGTTATCAAATGTTATTACAACTGACTTATGTTTTAATGTAAATGAAAAAGGTTACCTTATTTATTATAACACGAACTTCACTTGCAAAATCACGTGAACATATTTCTAAATGAAAAATCTTCCCACAATTTGATACACAGGCTCCTAACAGCTGAAAACAGAAATAAAATTGCGGGAAAAAATTAAGATGGCAATAAAAGTTACTGTCCACAATACAAATACATATTGCAAAAGAGAAAGGGCCAAATTCCACTCTTGGATAAGCACGCACAACTCCATCAGTTGTCCACTAGAACTGCATGCAAGTATTCTTGGACAGAATTCAGCTATAATGACTGCTTGAGTACATAAAGATATACATATCTCAGTTTGGTAAAATAATAGTGCATAGGCTACTTACTGTTAGTGCTTGTAATGCCACATGTGGGACCTTATGATTTACCCTTTTCATAATGGCTTTAAGGCAATCTTTTGCTCTAGAAGACAAAAAAAAGGTTTCAGTGGTACAGAAGTATAGTTCAAGCACTACTGCTACAAAATAGGGGTGCACCAATAAAGATTTATTGGCCAATACCAATAGTCAATTATTACCCAGCCATATCAGCCAGTACTGATCTAATAATTGATATTTAGTATATTTAGCACCATTTCTAAACATGGAGAATGCTGATACAGTAGACACGGTGGCACTAGTAGTTCTGGGAGCCACTCTAAGTAAAGTGTCACCCCCTTACTCCCGGAGCCCATGTAAAAGTGCCCGTGCCAGTTGCAGCAGGCAAGGCTAGCCTAATAGTGGCCTACAACTGGCTCTGCAGGGCCCTTTGGCCCCTGTCCTTCAATCCCAGCCTAGGGGCAGCTGCCTGAGCCTACCTGGCTGCCCAGGGCTGGGTGGTCTCTGGGCCAGGCTCACGCTCTTGTCCCTCTGCCCAGGGCAGGACCGAACTGCACACAACAGTGGGAAGGAGCAACTGCCCAGGGTGGTGAGTAGCCACAGAGGTCAGCTTCTGATCGTTCCCCCTGCGTGGCAGCAGCCAAGTCTCCCCCAAGCTCTGTTAGATGGCAGTGTGCACATGACCCAGGGAAAGTGGGGTTGCAGGGGAGTTGCTGTCTTCCCCCTTCTCCTTCAGAGCCCTTATGGCCCAGTGGCAAGAAGCAGGACAACAGGGGCTTGAGTGCCAACATTAGGGCAAGGCGGGCAGAGTGCAGCATGGAGAGGGGTGCAGCTGTGGGGCGCCTCATCCCTCATGAAGCAGCACCTACCCCAATGCCTTGGATGCAAGATGAGCCCCTCCCCACCAAATGTGCTTGTGGGGGAATAAGTGATTAATATAACCCCTTAGGAGTACTTCCAACTTTGTCACGCATATAAATAATAAGGCCCCAGTCCTCACTGGTATTATACTCATTTGTTGCCTCCTCCACAATAACCCCTCCCCTCAGATTTGGGTTGGAGAGGAGGCCAGGCAGCTATTGCAGCTCCCACAACAGCCCTGAGCCCAGGTCAGGGCCAGGGAGACCCACAGCAGCTGCCTGCCACTGCAACCTGCACCCTCTGCCCACACTGGTGGCAAGCACAGCCAGGCACAGAGCACATGGGACTCCACTGCTGCTGTGTGTCATGGGAGGGACTGTGCCTCCACATGCTGCTGTGCTCTGGGAAGTGACCAGAGCCTGAGAAGCTTGGCCCCGGCCAAGCTTTGCCACCTGCCTCTGGGGCAAAGACCCCCAGGCACTGTGGGCTGAGTCACACTGGGCTGGGTTGGGTAGCTCAGCTCCACCCACCCCTTCCCTCCCCAGTCACATCTGTGGTATTCAGCACAGCACCTTTTATAGCACCTGCCCCAGTCCCTGCCCCAACCTGCAGTCCATGCTATGCCACTGCCCTGTACACCACAGCAGCTGCTCCACTGCAGACCAGCTCAGCCCACCGATGAGGGGATGAGGGCATATCCAGGGTCATCCCAGCCACAGGAAGGAACCCAGGTATCCAGGGGCCCCAGACAGAAGGCGTAAGTATTGGAGAACATTAAATCAGCTACAACGGCCAAAAAAGGCCAATAACCAATAACATAAGTTTCCCTTTTATCAGTGCCCATCTCATAGGCAACTGATAGGCACCTCTACTACAAGATTCAAAACCAACACAGAGGCAAAATTCAGCAAGACGATTGAAATTACTGACTATGCTTATATATGTTAAATTTCATTTGGAACCTGGCCTTTTTGTCCTTGTTGCCCTCTATCCATACCACCCTTCCGTCCCACACATACAACTACCTACGCAAAAACTTTGCCATAGTTAACTTTCCCACTTGAGTAGAGAACTAGCTTTGCGCAATTAAGTTAGTTCCACTTTCTTCTTCTGACTTAGATGCTTCAGGAACTTTATGCAAGGATATCTTAACATGAATAGCTCATTTTACTGTGTAATGCTGCATAAAATTGGAGTAAGTCCAGCATACATCAATTACCCTGCTAAAAGTTTTGTTGGAAAAGAAAAGCTTCAAACTTCTTCTCAGCAGGTTTTAAAGCCAACTGTGCAGATCATTAGCACAGTTTATGAATCCTTTAGGTCAATATCTCTGCAGAGCTGACTCTGAAAAGCATCTTCAGGAGCTTCACTCTTGTAACAGCATTCATTTTTTAACTGAATATGAAATTCAACATTGCAAAGATAAGATGCACCTTACCCATTAGGCGTACTTCCAACTTTGTCACATATATCCATAATAAGACCCCAGTCCTCGCTGGTATTATATTCATTTGTGGCCTTTTCTATAGAGAAAAACAAGACATGCATCAAATTTGAGTTCAAATTTTAGTGAACAAATATAAACAGCAACACTCTGTATATGAATAACTGAGAACAACAACATCTTTTCCTAGACTAGCTGTAACATTTGCTAATATCTAAAATAGTTTTATGGTGTACATCAGAAAAACTACTACTCCACACACATTATATATTATGGCACAAGACCAACAACTCTGATTAGCACTTAGAGTCAAAAAGCAAACGATAGTATTTAAAGAGGTAATGGTTACATTATGAAATATATACCGCACTCTGCACGTAATTACTGCAAATTTAGGCTAAAAATGATTCCTAAGACCATGCATACAATGTATAATATATTTAATTTGCTATTTAAGATGCAATTTGCTATTTAGATTCTACCCAAGGATATCATTAAGTTTATATATAATAGAATCTAAAAGATAATTAAAAGTCTTTTCACTATGTACTTCAATATATTCCTCGAATGCTAGCTTCTCCTCACTCAACTCCTTAATGCACACCTTGCCATGAGGCCTTCAATGTTAATTTAAGCGAAAATAAACAAAAATGATACAAAGAATATACAAATTGCTCTATGTAGTCTTTTCTTCATTAAAAGCATTTTTGTATCTAGCATTTATTGTGCCATTCAACCCACTGGCCTCTAAAGCCTAATGTAATTAAGTTACATACTCCCTATGTATTAAATAGTAAGATTTCGTGGCAGAGCCATGTGACAGAGTATATAATAATATACGGTGACGATACAAATAATTACAGTAAAAAGCAAATATTCTTTATAATATTCTTTAAGTATTCGCAGATAACTCGTTAAGCTCTTTCACAAAACTTTGGACTTTCATAGATTTCATAGACATTAGGGCT